TATTCTTTAGTACTACTACATAATTCTGTAATTTGCAGAAAATTGTTAATAATGCAAATGATTGTTTTTTCAGTTGTGTCCAGTGAAATGTCATTTGTTTTTACTCTATGGATAGTGAGCATGTATCTTTGTGAAATTCATTTCAGCCTTTTTAATAATCTGTTTATGTTATTTGAATTAGCCATTGAGCCAGTTATAGCATCTCAGTGACCCCACATTTATTAATGAGTAAAGTATTTTATATGTGTTTATTGTGTAGTTATATAGGAATCATGATTTTACCATTTTACAAATTTATCTCAACATTATTATGTTTTATATTGTATCACATTTTAAACATTTTTGTTTTTGTTGTTCCTCCTTCCTTAGGCCATGTAGAAGAATTTAGACTGTGATAGGGGCATAAACAGCTCACTCCTGACATGCCACTACCAACACTCATTATGTAATATGGATAGGTGGGTAATGCTAGAAGAAACCTCAGAGACAGAGTATGAAGTGCCATCCGATTTTACATACCAGGAAGGTAACACCCAAAGAACTTGAATTCTGCGTATAAGATCAAATCCAGTTAATGGCTGGGCGCAGTGGCTCACGCCTATAATCCCAACACTGGGAGGCCGAGGTCAGAGGATTTCCTGAACCCACGGGTTCAAGACAAGCCTGGGCAACTTGACGAGACCTCATCTCTACAATAAATAAAATAAATTAGCTTGGCATGGTGGCATGTGCCTGTAGTTCCAGATCCCTGGAAAGTTGAGGTGGAAGAATCACCTGAACCCCACAGGTCGAGGCTACGGTGGACATGAGTGTGCCTAGGCAACAGAGTGAGAATCCGACTCAAAAAAGAAAAAAAAAATCCAGTTAATAAGAGAACCAAAAATATAACCTAACTTCAAACATTCTTTTTTTTTAACTTTCTCTATTTTCCTTTATTTGGTTTCATAAAAAGAAAAAAAAAAATTGAGATGTCAAAACTCCAGTCTATCTTTAGCAATCCTATATATGGCAACATATCTCCAAGTTTACAGTTTAGTGTATATTTCACAGGAAAGGGAATATTTCTTTTCTTTGAAACCCAGAGTATCCAAAACATACACTAATATACTAATGAAGAATAATAGAGTGCACAACTTTAGTGCCAGTGACTTTAATCCCACAATCTAATTTTTCTCTACTGTTTTCCACTTGTAAGAATATACCTTATTGCAAATAATACGCCTTGAAATAAAACATCACTAAGATTTAAAACAATTTTCAATGAATTAATCAAATGAAGGAGTTAAAGAGCAGAGACTGCCTTTCTGTCTGCATGTTGACGGTTGCATGTCCCACCATAAAGGATATCTTGAACAAGTCCAGTTGATCCAAGCAGAGAGCACAGTTCAAAAAGGGAGGGTTCATATTTGGTGACAGTTGATTGTGTAGGGAGAAGTTAACATCACTAGAGGTTCATGAAGTCTTTCTTTGTACTAAAATTTTGATCCTTCAGCAGTTTGATGAGTAATCCATATATACACAGGCTGATTGGCAAAGTAGGTTGGGTGGCAGAAACAGGGTTCAGAAGTGGCAGTAATTATGTCTCCCATCCAAAGACTCCATATGAGAGGTTTGGTGAGGACTGCAAAGAGCAGCAGTTCTTATGTGGTATGCCTGTGACAATCAAAGTAGGTGGGAAATTAGTCGAGATATATGCAGTACAGGACCAAGGTTAGGGACCGAGAGTACCACATTCAAGATAGCGATCCCTGAGAGTACATGTCTTCTTAAGAATGAGATGCTGTAGCAAACAAATTGATGGAATGGAAACATAATAGGACACTAGGAAATCATAAGCTCCCTAAAGAGACATTAAGGGAGAATTTCCAAGGCAGCAGTGTGTGAGGTATAGTGAGAAGTATAATTTCCTGTTGAATAATCAGTTAAAATATTTTGAATTTGAATGATAGATAACTGATGTTCCCTTAATTCAGACTGTGGTGCTACTCGTCAGTCTGCGCCCCTGAAATCTGCCTGTTCGTGGTAACACTTTATCAGAATGCTAATTGCAGTGAAGTCCCAGTCACATAAAATTCACTGTCCAAGAATAACATGAACACAAAAAAACATTTCCACATATGAAATGTATAGGTATTTTATTTTTAAAAAAGTTTTATCTTTGACATCATGCCATTCCAAACATAAAGCTTAGGTTTTACAGGCATCTGTGTTGTTTCTGTCTCTATTTTCAGATTAGTAGTTTTGGTAATCATAATTTTTAATATTATGTAATCTTTTACCTCTTGCTGTTGGGATTTCCCTGTTTAATTAAAAAAAAAAAAAAAAAAAAAAAAGCCCTTGTAGTTTCATTCCCCAAACCAACACTGTTTTTTTCTAGGTTATTGTAACATTGCCTCTTCCTGACACCCTCTTCATACTCATCCTACACACCAAAATAATAGGAGAAAATTTGTTTCTCTAACTATATATGAGCCAACTCTTAAAAGACAAAGGTCCTGGTCTTTTCTAAGCTTCCAGCATTTTTTAAAGAACTCCAGCTCAAAGTTAAAGCTCAAAACATCCAGTGAACTGAATTCAGAACAAAGAGCTGATGTCAGACATTAGGGTTGAAATAATTATGAATGAGAAGAATGACTTTGAGGGCAAGTGTCCCTTTGCACTCCTTACTTTTGCTTAGCTGTTATGTAAGCTAAACTTCCATTATATGCTCTGTCACCATTGTCTAACCCAGGCATTGACCCACAGTTACCTGGTGCCCAAACTCAATAACACCAAAGAGGGTGGAAGATGTGGAGAGAAGTAGAATATACATAAAAATGAATAATCACAGAGAGAAAGAGTGTGATATATATGTATATATAAAGCAAAGCAAAGAAAGGAGGTCGTTCAGAGAAATAAAAATAACTGAAGATTAGCAGAGATGAGACACTAGAGAAAGATGACTTAAGCAGAGAATGGAGGATGCAAGGAGTAATCATTTTGTCTGATCCCTGAAATCTGAATTTTCATATTATACTTTGAAATGTTTAAATATTTAAAGCATTCTAAGATATGTTTCCTCTCTTATTCTTTGCCTCCCTGCTTTAATTTTTTGTCTTCCACTTCAAAGACTCCCTTGGAATGGGGGAAATTCTCTAGATCATACCAGAACTAAATCCTCTGTGTCACTGGACACCCTTTCCTGTATTGGGACTCTTCAGTTTTAAACATTTATCTGGGATCATCCCTCCTTGGAGGGCTTGATTCCTTCCTTTTCTGATCTTAGAAACTCCAGGCTCCCAGGATTTTCTCACTGGCCATGCTCCTGTGACCCCTTTGAATTTATTTTCCCAAATGGTTTTTCTAGTCTACATTTTACTCATCCTACATTATTTAAAGAATGATTACAATGGCAATGCTAATGGTAATAATAAAAACTCATGGGATCTTTTTATCTAACCAATAAAATATGTATTGCCCATTTATACCAAAGTCAATGAGCAACTCTTCACTTAATGACACTTTTTTGTTAATCGGAAATCCTTGGGTGTGAGTGTCAGAAATATTACTTTATTATAATTATTTTAATTAGTTTAGACTAATAAAGAGGACTTTATTAGTCCATATGATCAAAGCACATGAAGAATGAGTAAAGCTGGCTTAAGGGACATGGGATTCAGAGACTGTTGTGTAACTAGGAGCTTCCCTCTCTGTTCTTTGGTCTTCTGTTTTCTCTTTCTTGGGCCGGTTACTGTGCTCAGAAGACATGGTTTCCACACTTTCATGCTTAGCCCATTATTGTCTCAAGTATAAGAGAAAAGATACTCTCTATTCTCATATCCAATTAGAAAAAGTTTAAGGAAATGGTATCAGGGAAAATATATCTATAAACACTCATGGCATGTGATTAGAGGAAGTGATCATCTTTGATAGTTATTCTCCCACTCATGGAGGGTTATTACTAAACATGTTATGAAAATTTTTAACTAAATTTTCACGCTACCTTTAGCCTCTGAAACAAATGATTTGCTCAAAATAAAATAAAAACAGAAGGTCTTCTGTGCCAGATGTGACAAGTATACTACAGGGATTTAATTTTATTCACATTATCACATCTGAGTAGTAGATTCCAAAGCAGTCCAGGCAGGTTAAAAGATCTAGAACATTGAACTGTAACTCCCATTCAATGCAGAAGTCTACTAAAAATAGATTGCTCATCTTCTACTTGTTGAGGAGCTTGATAACCTCAAATAAAAACACACAAGGCATACTAATCCTATAAATTTATAATTTATAAATATATATGTCTTTCTAACAAGTCAAAATATGCCTTCCCACTTATATACCTAATCCTGAATTGTACCCCAATCTTTAAAATAAAATATATATACTAAAAAACTATCAGAACAAAAAACAAAATATGCCTCCCTACAACTCTTTCCACCAGTCACAGCTTTAACTTTTATGTCTGTCTCTTTTTTCCTCTCTCTGTGTGTCTCTCTCTTATCCACACATACATACACATTGAATAATCTAGTTTATCATATATTTAAAGATAACCATAATGCCCTTCAATACCTGACGCTACATATTTTTTTATGCCTATATATCCAAAATTTAAGTATTTTATAGATTTTATAAATATTTAATCACCTAGTTAATATCATCTGAACAAACTCTAGCTCAATATTGTTTTGAAAACACAAATTCAAAACCAAATATAATTGCCAGCATAAGGTGTCTTTGCAGAAAACACGATGAGAATGTTGACTCCATTATGGGCATACTTGCAATAATGCAATTAAAAATCTAACCAGTTTCTAATGGCAGAAGACATGTACTTGTTGACTCTTAGGCAGTTGAGTACCCAGAGAATCTCCTCATACACCAGGTTTGATGACATTTCCCAGGGAAATAGATTTCCTAGGAAAGGTACTCTGAGGACCTAGAACTCTAAAGAGAAATCACAAATCAAACTTTGAAAAACAATAAAGACAATAAAAACATATTCGATGCAAGAGTAAATGTATTTATTAGGACAAACAAAATTAAACTTCCATACACTTTGTAAGAAGAATTTATCTTATCATGAATCACTTGTTTCAAAATTACAGACATTTGACTCTATATTTTGGTCTGAAAGAACTGGTCTGTTAGCTGGTGCTTAATGGCAGAGAAAGAATGAAGAGGTAGTAGTGAAAGGGGTCAGCTAATATTGCTGGAAATGCCTATGATATCAGCTCCAAGTAGAGACTGAGACATTTTGCTTAAAAGGTCTGGAAATTCAGCAAGTTGGTCTGCAGAAGGTTGATCCGTAGGTTGGCCTGTAACAAGAAGACTGGCAGGTCCTAGAAGCCAAGTAGGTTGGACGACAGAATCCGGATCCATAGCCCAGGGAAGAGAAGCCACTGCTTCCATAACCCAGGGGTCTGAAGCCACTGGATCCACAGCCCAGTGAGGAGACGATCCTAGGTCCACAGCCCAGGGAGTGGCAGCTGCCAGACCCAAAGCCCAGAGACCCAGAGCAAGTTGTCTGGCAGGGACTGCACAGCAAGGAGGTCCTGGGGCGGTAGCAGGATGTCTGGCAGGGGCTGGACACCACATAGGACGTCTGGCAGCTGGTGGGCTCACAGCAGGTCTCCTGGCAGCCACTGTAGGGAGAGGAGCCCAGCTGGTAGGTACTGGGAGAGCAGAGGTTACTGCTGTAGACCAGGTTGCTGGGGTAGGAAGAGCCACTGGAGGAGCCTGGGTAACTCAGACAGCCTCCAAAGGAGCGGGAAGAGAAGTTTCCAGAGCTGCAGTTGTAGGACATGTTGATGGGAGATATAAGTTCAGATGAGTTACAGTGGGAAGATTCTCTGAGTTTCAGTGTTATGGTCTGGACTCTAAGTTATATATACTCTTTGACTTGGGTGTGTCCACTGTCCAGATGCTCCTTCCGCCTTGCTCACCTTTTATACAAGAATACCTCTAGGTTATTGCTTACATTCAATTTATCACACCTTCATATACTTAATTGTACATTAGTCACTCTGGAACACTTAAGAGGAAGCCACTCTGTTTCTTTCCCTGGAATTCACCGTGGTTTGACTATCAGTGTTAAAGGTCATCACATTTCTGTATATCCCCCCTCTTACTATTTATGAGTATAGCAAGTTCAAGTTCTATCAATGGAATTACATAAAATCTTCCTTTTTTCCTCTTGTTTTATTTTATTTTTAATTTTAATTTTTAAAATGTGGGTGGAATTCAGGGTCAGATATACAAATGATCATTGTACAGGTAAAGTCTGGGTTTCACTTTGGTCCCCATTTTACCAGGTGAGATCAGGTACCCTTACTGATGAAGTATGCCCCCCCCCCACATACATCCTGGTAGTTTCCCACTACTGCCAAACCCTTTCTTACAGTATTTTGATAATTGTTCAGCATCTGCTTATGAGTGAGAACATGTGGTACTCAGTTCTTTGTTTCTGTGATAGGTCATTGAGTATTATAGACTCTAAGTCCATCCAAGTTACTGCGAAGTTCATAATTTTGTCCTTTTTATGGCTGTGCAATATTCCATTATGTATGTGTACCACATGAGGAAAGAACAAAGGAGTTGATAACTGAGATGAAAGCAATAAAGAAAACAATAAACATAAATTACTTTTTCACTTCCATTGAGTTATCAGGAGCATTTGTGGTTACTATTTAAAATGGTTTGCCCTTTATTTTCATGAGCATATTATAATGGATTTCTCCAAACACTAACTATATGCATAGTCTTCACAATCTTTCAGTTAAAACTTTTACTTATATCTTGAGCTCAATGTAAGAATTATGGACTGCAACATCATCCTTGGTGATTATACCAAGGGATTTCCTTAAAGAGGGGCTTTCTTAGACACCACACATCTAGGAAACAATAAACACAACCTTTTTCCTTTTTTAGTGAGATTCTAGATAGAAGTTTTTCGTATGTTTTTTTTCATGAACCTGTCTTCTAGCAAGCATTATTGCATGGTTATTCCTTGAGTCAATTTTTTTTTCTTCTTCATGAAAAGTCCGATTCTTAACTGTAATTATTAACATACACTTAAACAATAATTTGGGAATTATCAATATTTTCCAAATCTACTAGCTTGAAGCATTAGAGCTATATGGATCTTTAAATGTCGTCTTGTCAAACTAGACGTCTTGTCAAACATGGCAAAATTACATCTCAGAGAGGTTCATTAACTACCCCTTATTTTTTCAGTGAGATAGAAGCAAAATTGAAGTTTTAACCATGGTTTTCTTATTGTGAGTCAAGTTACAAATATTCAACTTTAACCTGTCTCAGAAAAGAAGCTATTAAGCTTATTTATACTAAGATACAAAAGCCTAATAAAGCTTTATTTACCTCTCATAAGAATATTTGCATTAAATAGTGTTCAACGGGGGAATTCCATGAACCACTGATCCTTATACATTTAAAGTATATTTTACTTTCTAGCCCAAGAAAAAGAAAATAAACTGGATAATCCATGCTTAGATGAATGGGGGACAAAAAAGTCTTATCTGGTTTGTGCTTATTCTTCTTCTTTTGAAACTGGCATTTTATTTGGTTTAACTAAGGGAAATGGCATCCACAACTGTCATTGAAAAGACAGCCCCTTAACTACCTGAAAATTAACTTGCTTTATTCCAAAGCACGCTGCTTCAGAGCACTTAGTTACTTTGTTTTATGATTATCTCTCCCATGCAGAATTCAAAGTGTGGCATGCATCACATGAACTGCCCTTGTGCAATACTTAAACCATCACTCTGATTCACTGAAGTAAAATAAGCTATGCTTTATGAATGGACACCTATTAAATTTACCAAAACATATGTGTCACCCCTATGTGGGATTCCTTATAATGCCAGCCTGTAACTCTTTAGAATGGGAAATATTTTTTTCTTCCTACTAAATGTTAATTCTGCTAAGAAAAAAATCATAACAAATTTTCTAATATCCGGAAGTACCTGCTTTTCTTGACCAACTCCCTATGTCTGTGAATAAATATACATTAAAATATCTTGGGAATAAGTCGATTCCAATTAACACTCCCTCTGCCCATTCCTAATTGGGTTAACACTTTTCATTAGAGTTATTTGTGCACTTAATACAAATGCTAGTGAACAGCTCCTAAATGCTAGTAAATGTGTCCCTCTGAGAGGAACAAAAAGCAAAACAAAGTCAGAATAGCTTTAATAGTTCAGATGTGGATTCTGGGACGTATAAAATACTCTGTATGCTTTCTATACACAGGCAAAGTGTTAGTTTAAGAAAAAATTTCTAGATATGTCAGGGGAAAAATACAATATTAAAAACATTTTTTAAAAAAGAAATGAAGGAGTATCAACACTACAGAAAATAACACGAACGTTAGAGTATCCAGTAGCCACAAGTAGCTTATGATCTGAACTACTTGAAAAGTGATTGTTTTTCCAGGTCCCATAGTAATGCAGTTCAGGCTTCAAGGGGACTATATTCTATTGCAATGTTTCCAGAGATTGTTGAAAACTTTTCTGATTAAGCAGATATTATGCTACTGCCTAATGGAGAAAGAGTAAAAATCCATATGCTTCATTCTATATGTCTTTTTTCGTCCTGTTCATTTTTCTCCTTTATCCTTGAAATATAAGTACCTTTTAGTGCGCGATCCCTAAAGTTTCTTCCTCATAACAGCTGCTTTTCACTAGATTTTACTTTTAAAATTCTCACCTAGGGAGGATTTCACTGTTAAATGCTAATGCTAAGTGTGGACTGAAGGACACATTGCTGGGTAGAGGACTGAATGGGAACTTGCTGGACCACTCTGCTCATGTTTCTTTCCCTGGACACCCACACAGGACTGCCCTAGGCTGTGACTTTCTCAAAGGTAATCCTGCCTCATTGTTTGAGATTCTTCCAGGCACTGGCAACTTCTTTTACCTTACTGGAGCTTTTCCTGATTCAAATGTACCCATTTTATGATTTCATCCATAATTTTAATTTTAAATAAAAAGGTCAGGGTAGCTGATTTCTAAAAACAACTCTACTTACAGACTGCTCTGTTTTTCTTTCGCCATCTAAGTTCTTACACTTGTGTTTACCCAAGTTAGTGTGAAGAACTGGAATATAGTACATTAACAAAATACAGAGTAATTAGAAAACTCTAGAGTAGTTTTCTGGAATGTCTAACCTCACAATTGTTGCCATGTGGTTAGATTTGTGTTCATCTTTTTTTTTTCTATTTTCAATTTTTATGGATACATAATAATTATACATATTTATGAAGTACGTGTGATATTTTGATACAACATACCATGTGTAATGGTTGGATCTGGGTAACAGATATCCATCACCTCAAACACTCATCATTTACTTGTGTTTGAACATTCCAAATATACTCTTCTAGTTATTTTGAAATATATAATAAATTGTTGTTGACTATACAAGGGGGGACCCCCCCAAAATTTAATTATCTATTGGAGGACAAGTCCCTTGTAGTATATTCAAAATTTGTTCCTCCATGTCAAATGGTCAACCAAAGTTTTTATCTGGAAGTTTTGAGAAGGCTGTTTCATGATTTGAGGAAGAAACATCCTTAGTTGTAGTAAACAGGTGACTGGTTCTTCCACCATAACAACCCACCTGTCCACATCATGCTGAGTGTTCAGCAGTTTTTGAACAAAACCATCATGACTGCGTTATCCCGCCTTCCCTATTCACCAAATCTGATCCTGAGCAACTTTTTTTGTTTCCTTGGATGAAAAAAGTCCTCAAAGGAAGACGTTTTGCTGATGTGGAAGAGGTGAAACAAAACACTACAGAAGCACTGAAAGGCATTAAAATCGATGAATTCGAAAACTTGTGAGCAGTGGAAAAGTGTCTGGATAGGTATAGTGCATCAAACGGAGAGTATTTGGAAGGTGACCGAAGTTTCAACGTGTAAAAGTGAATACACAATTTTTTAATAAATAAATTCCAGGTTTTGGGGAGGTTCTGGCTTATACTTGCCCTGCTGTGCTACCAGTCCTATTCATTCTATCTAATTGTATTTTTGTATCCATTTGTCAACCTCTCCTTAGACTCCCCCTCCCACTATCATTTCCAGGCTCTGGTAGCCACTATTCTATTCACTACATTAGAGAGATAAGCTCCCTGTAGACCAACTTCTCAGTCTGATTCATCTTTCCGTCTTTCCAATGGCATTACAATAATGCATTTATTTTTGAGTAACCTTTTAGGAAATTTTCTTCACATCTGGTTATAGGTAATAGATGTGTATAGCTTACTGTTTTGTTATTGTTGTTTTAAGTTATAATAATGCAATATAATTGAACACATATTTATAACTATCTTTTTATATTAAATATTTACAACTAAATATATCTAAAACATGTTGACAGTTATATAATTGTGTATTTATTTATCATATATACAGTTAACACTTTTAAGTGTTTGGCACTGTTCTTAGCACTGTATTACACATATTAGCTCATGTATTTCTCATAATAATCCTATATAATACATATTGTATTTATTCTTATTTTATAGATGAAGACATGAGACACAAACATATTTTATTTATCTATTTCTCTACCAGTTTTGAGTTTTTACGATTGTACATCATGTGGCAAGGAATACACTTGTATATAGACCTTGGCTTCTACTGTTTTAGGGCTTCTGGCAGGTATATATTTAGATGAAATTCCTGAGTATACATAATTTCAATTTTAGCATGATAGTTAGAACCATGACTTTTGTATTTAGGCTGACTTTATTTGAATCCTGATTCCATTATGTGCTAGCTGAGCAATCAGATATATTTGAGTTTCTTCTATTTTGTTATCTTTTAGCTATT